ACCCCAGGTGAGGTTGAGCACAGCAGGACCATTCGCTCTGGGGCTGTTCATGCTGTATATGATCCTCTSGGGATTTGTCCTCTCGGCTGTCAGGCCACACTGCTGCCTCCTGCTGAGTTTTCTCCAGCATCCCCACATCCTGGTCTGCAGAGCTGCTCTCCAGCCARTCCCCTTCCAGTTTGTGTCCAATGTTACTCTGTCCCAGGTGCAGAATTTGCCGTCATTTGTTCTTCTTAAATTTCTTGCTGTTGATGATTGTCTAATTCTCTGATTTATCTAGATTCCTCTGCAAGGCTTCTTGTCCCTCCAGAGAATGAACTGCCCCTTCCAGTTCGGGCTCATCAGCAAACATGCTAATGATGTATTCTGCTTCTATCTTCAGATAAAAATATTGAACAGCGCTGGCTCTGGCATCAAGCTCTGTGGAACACTGCTGGTGACTATCCCCCAGCCAGATGCAGTCCCACTCAGAACAACCCTTTGAGCCCTGCCCTTTGGCTTGCTGTTCACAGTTTGCCTGGAGGATGCTGTGAGGGATAGTATMAAAAAATCTTACTAAAATCCAGAAAAACAACATCTGCAGCCTTTGTCTCACCTACTAGGCAGGTGACCATATCGTAGAAGGTTATTAAATTAGTTACAGGACTTGCTCTTGATGAACACATGTTGATTGGGCCTGATCATTGCATTGTTCTTTGAATGCCTTTCAATAGCATCTACTACGATCTTCTCCAGAATTTTTCCAGGTACTAAGGTTATACTAACAGCCAGGTTCCTAGGTCATCCCCATCCCCTTTGGATTGGAATAATGTTGGTTATCTTCCAGTCAGACTTGACTTCCAAGACCTTTGACAGATGACCAAGAGGTGTCCTGCCATTACAACCACCAGTTCCTTCAGTATTAGTACAGACCAAGGCAAAAAACCTTGTTGAACATCTCTGCTTTTTCTTCTGTTAGTCAGGTGGTATCAGTCCAATATTTTCCTTAGTCCTGTTGTCATTAACTTACATCCAAAAGTCTTTCTTGTTCTCTAATACAGCACTGGCCAGTTTCAACTCTACTTGCTTTACATGTCTTCTCCCTGGGAAGAATGATTCAGGATGAAGAGGAAAGGAGGAAAAGGCTGTGCACAAAGGGTTGGGTTCCAGCCTGCCAGTTCAGGCTGCAGTCATGATGCCCTTCACACTGCAGACCCCTTTGTGTTCCACTTCACCACTGGCTGCAACTTTTACCCCAATGGTTTGTAWGCCAGATTCTAACATCTTGYCTAAAATGCCCACAACTTTTCAGCTTTGACACAGACAACAGATATGGAGAGATGGCAGGAGACTGATCTGGCAATGCAAGCTGTGAGAATGTTCAACACCTTCACCAGCTTCTCTGCAATCCTGCAGCACCAATATTCCCTGTGTCCATTGAGTATGGGAAGGCAGCTCTGAAGAGACAAGGTGAGATGACCCTGACCCTGCAACAGCCACCCCAAAGACTCTCACACTGGGGCTAAGCCATGCCTCACCAGGGCTTTTCCCATCCCTTTGCTCTCATTYCCCAGAGCGGCCTGTGGCCACGGTCTTCACCCACACCCCCAGCCTAGACCAGCTGCTTCTCGTTTGCCACGTCACCGGCTTCTACCCCCGTCCCATCAGCGTGGCCTGGCTGCAGGATGGCCATGAGGTGCCTCTGGACCCAGTGCTCAACTCCAGCACCATCCTGCCCAATGCTGACCTCACCTACCAACTCCGCAGCATCCTGGCCATGGCCCCCCGTGATGGGCACAGCTATGTCTGCCGTGTGCGCCACTGCAGCCTG